TTGTCCGGTTCCCCCCACTGCGCTCCTGTGGCCTCCCACGCCGTTTAATCAGCGCTTCCATGGAGCGTGTTCTCCTTCCCAGCACCTCACCTGTGACAGCTGAGGAACGCCATAGACAACTGAAGTGACACGAACTCGAAGCACCTGCCCCAGCTCACTAAACGTGGGTCATGTCCTTCCCCTGTTCAAACCTGATGTGTGCCCTTAGCCGGCATCCAAGTCCTCTGACTGAGATCCTGCTGACAAGGCACCGACCCAGAGGCCACATGGGGCCACGCTCTGGCTGGTAGCCGCCCTTTAGTCTGCGGTCCCCTGTTCCTGGCCCTGCCCCATCCTGAGAAGCTGCGCCTGCCTGGAGCTTCGCTGAAGACACAGAATGACTCACAGCCTGGGAAACATCCCCTGTCCCCAGGATGCGATTCCTAGAAGTCAGCGCCAACCACAGAAACATTCTGTTTACGTTCAGGAAAGAAAAAAACACTGGAGCCCCAACTGGCGAGGCCCTTCCCCAGGTGCCTGCTCCTGAGCCACAGGATGGGCAGTTAAGCCTGAGTGAGAAGTAAGGAGCGCTGCCCGAGGTGGCCGTGGTGGTCGCGAGAACACGGAGCCACCGTTTGGTCCACGTCAGGTGCCGTTTGCCGGGTCGTGGGCACCACTCAGTGACACGGACTGTCTCTGTTGGAAACGGGTTGTTGTGAAGCCTGCTCTCTGCTGCCTGCACCCTGCTCCTCAGTCATGTCCCTTCCCCAGACAGCGAAGCATGAGGGCCCCGCTCCCACCCAGCATCACTCGGTAAAGGGCCTGGCTTCCCTCCCCTGCTCCGAGCAAGCAGCAAGCAAACGCTGTTTATTTTTCTCATTTTTATACACACTGTACAAGAGGCAGGGGCTGCCTGTCCGGGAGGTGCACACGGAACTTCCACACAGGCTCCCGGAGAAGCCCCCTCAGGACACAGTGGCCCCATGCCTCCTGGAGAGGGGACAGCGCTTCAGGACGCCCAGACGTGACCCGCTGGTGGTGACCCCAAGGGGTGGCTCTGCTCTACAGGCCAATAGGAAGCGTGCTCTCCCTGCATCGTTGGCTTATTCCCCCACAGACACTTCTCTCTCCTGTTCTCACATCAGCATCCTGTCACCGACTAGGAGCCTAGAGCGAGGACACCCCGACACAGGTCCACCCCACGTGGCTCTTCAGAAAGGGACCCGCAGAAGAGAACTTTCTGCACAACTGGTTCAGAGTCCTTTGTGCTCATCCGTCCACCTTAGCCAGCCCGCTCCAAAGGACAAGGGACACAGGGACACCCTGTCCAGGGGACCCCTAGGGCGGGCAGCAGTGGGTGACAGTGAACAGGAAGGCCGCGTCCAGGCGATGTGTGGTGCACTGTGCTCACTGTCTCTGAGCAGGTGCCCAGGAAGCCCTGCCCAAGTGCCTGCCACACTGGGGAGAGGGCTTCCACCACCCAGCTCACACCGGGGTGCTGGGGCTGGGGGACTTGGCAGGAACCTCAGGGAGACATGACAAAGCCCAGAAGCAGTGTGGCAGGTGGGCCGTGCGCACCTCCAGCCCACCAGCTCTGGGCCCAGGCCCCAGCCTGCCCGTGGCTACCTCCCTGCCCGCCCCCCACCGCCCTCCAGGTGTCTCCAGGAAATGGGGCTGGCGGGGAAGAGAGAGGAGGACTGTCATGGGCGTTTGTGCTCAAGTCTGCATTTCCCTGCTGGCTGGCAGCTGAGGCCACTCTCAGCCCCAGGACCCCCACCTCCAAGCCAGCAAAGCTCCCTACCCTCAGGTGGGTGATTGCCCTCAGGCCAGTTCTCAACTATAATAGATTTATAAAATTCAGCCTCTTTAGCCTAGGAACATAGTGCCTTCTTCAACGTGGGGCCCGGGGGAGTGAGGGGGGGTGTCCTCAGACCCACCTCTGCTGCCTGAAACCTGGAACAGCCATGTCCCCAAGGACAGAACTCAGGGTGTCCAATCGGGTAAGTAGATCGGGGCCAGCTCAGCCTGGCACCGGTGACGATGCTCACGTAGCTGTGGACGCATGGTCACACCATCCTGCCTGCTTTAGCGATGCCCGCCTGTGCTTACAGGGTGGGAGGTGCAGAGCCGAGGGGCCTCAGCCCCCCTTCTGTCTGGCAGGTGGGCGGAGGAGGCTGTGTTGATGACAGGAGCCCGCTGGGCACCCCGGGTTGGCAGGGGGCTCCCACTGCAGCCTCTCCTCACCGGAGACCAGGTGCAGCCGTCTTGTCAAAACTCGCTTTCCCCAGCTGGCGGAGACCGTGGGTAAAAAAGCAGGGCCTTCAGCGCTGAGAAGTGTGCAGGGTCAGCTGTCCCGCTGCCAAAACCAGGACCGAGCAGCGTGCTGCTCCTTCCTGGTGCTCCGCCGAGAGCTGGCCCCACGGCCAGGCCGTTTTCTGAAACTGTACCCTAGAATGTAACCAAGGGGCTCGTCAAGACTTGGGGAAAACAAGCTGTGGTTGTCTGTCACCACTTGCCGTTTGGGCATCCCTCCAGGCGCTACCAGTAGAGAGCAAGCCTGTGTAACAGGGTCCCCTCTCCTGACGGGCTCTGCGGGGGGGCCTGTCCCAGCCCATGCGCCAGGCAAACTCACCTTGTGGTCATGCTGGCCCCGTCAACACGGCTGTTGCCCAGGTGCTGGGGGCCTGGTGCGCGTTTCTGTCCAGGGCCCATAGGCACGTGGGCCACACGTGCACACACATGCACACGCACACACGTACATGTAAGCACATCCACACGGTATCCAGAAATGCCGTCTTAAGAAAAGCTGAAATATTTGGAACTGACTTTGATGGCCTTTTTTGTTGAATGAAATTGTTGCTAACCACCGGAATATCTTGCGACTCGAGGGCGGTGGGGGTTCCTTCTGCTCAGGAATTAGCTGGCGAACCCGTCATCAAGAAATGCGTGCGGGCCTATAAGCAGGGACACCCCAGCAGTCCTGCTGGCCCCCCACCCATGTCTCGTCCCCCACGGCCCTGTAACCCCTTCCCCAGAGGGGCCTGCTTCTCCATCTGACGCTCCCTCCACATTCTCAAATGGGAACAGGGTTAGTTGCTGGGAGCCCCTGGGGCAGAGACAGGGCGATGCCTTCTTATTCTCCCTCAAAGCTACAGAAACCCGCTCAGAATGCAGGTGAACGAAGAGACTGATGAACTGGGTTGGCACGGACGTAGGGGCAGGTGAGACACCCCTGTGGTGAGAGAGAGGAAGACAGTGGTAGAATGGAATCATTTGGGGCATTCGGGGATTTTTTTTTTCTATTGTAACTTTTCTGTAAGTTGGAAATCGTGTTCAAAAGAAAAGCTAGCAGGAAAACGTTTTTCCAGATGGGGCCGCAACCCTTCCCCAGCGGCCCCCTCTGAGCCGAGAGGTGGCCAGTCAGCTGGGGGTGGAGGGGGGCGCAGTTTTTGTGCCTCCCTGCCCTGCCTGTCGTCCATTCCCACCACCTGGACTGAATGTCAGGCCGGAAGGGTACACGCTTCAGGGTACCTGGGCTGTCATGCTGTGACCAGCTTCTCCCCGTATTCAGCAGTCACCTCCCCAACAAGCGACCAGCAGGACAGGTGCTCATGTCCACAGCAGGTCTGAGAGTGAGCAGGCCCCGGGCGGAGGGAAGAGCCAGGCTGCAGCCATGCCTAATGCTGGGGGGCAGGTAGGGCCAGGGAGCAGGTCACAAGGGGCTGGGGTCAGCACTCCAGCGGCAGCTGCAGGAGGCACTTCCTTCCTCTGGGATCTAAACCATGTGTGACAAGGAAAAGTCTGTTTAACATTACCAGAAACATCTTTAAGTTTCAAAATTGGAGCCATGCTGGCACAGCCACTATTACCCATTTGTCTGTTTGGCCCAGCCTTTCCGTAACGGTAGCCGTCATTGCCCACGTGACATTCTGTGTCTGCGGGGTGCTTGTGCATGGAGAACCTCTGTCCCCTGTTCGCTTGACCACATGAGGAGGCTCGAGGCCCAGGCCTTGGGGAGGGGAGGGGAAGGGAGGTGGGCACAGTAGGTGCCATGCCCTTCACGAATCACAGCGCCCTCCACAGACGGGAAAGAGAGCCGGTTCATGTTCGAGGGAGCACATCAAGCCCGGCCCCGGGGTCTGTGGCTGCCAATGCCCGGTGTCCCGTCAGCGTGGAGGCGCCCCTGTGCATAGTGACACCCGTGCCCTTCACCGACTGCTGGATGTCATACTGGGGCCTCCCTGACAGGGCAGGGAGCCCAGTTCGAGGCATGTCCAGCCCTGTGTGGGTGGGAACGCACCCAGCCCCACACAGTGTCAGCAGTTGGCCCCTCTGAATGTGGATGTCCGTGTGACCTTGTATGTGGCCTGCTCCCAGTCTCAGCTACAGATGGCACGGTGGGGGGGCCAGGGCCTGTCAGGTGGGCCCTGGGGTGGCCAACACCACGGCTGAGTCAACACGTGGGCCTCCGGGGACACACCGCACTCGCCCACTCTGAACACGTGTTCCCGGGAACACACACTTGGGGCCGGGACGCCATTTTCCCAGCCTTCACCGGCCTCTGAGCGGAAATCGAGCACATGTGAGCTTTGGCCTGAGACAGGCTCCGACCGTCCCGTTCTCTCCCCTGGTAACCTGCCCTCCTCCTGGGCTCTCCGGGGCCCAGTGCCGCTCAGGGCTCTGACCACAAGCTCTCCCCCAGCATTTGAGCTCCCATGTAACCAGGGCCTTTGGGGCCCCTGAAGGGGTCGGTGTCAGAATTACAGGAAACCAGGCAGGGGGAGGGTGGACCTGGCATGCACCCCAAGAAGGCCTAGACTTGGGGCCCCATCGTCCCTGTCCTGGCCACTCACATCATGGCAGCGTGTGAGCTGCTGGAGGAAGGGCCATGGCACCAGCCTCCCCCGTGTATTTCCCACCAGGACAGTCCCAGACACCCCCATCCCCCAAAGTGCCCCTCTCTGGGGTCCCCTGTGGGGTCAGGCTCGGTGCACAGCTGACAGGCCTCCCCTGTCCCACAGACGCAGCCGGTGCCCAACCCCGTGGCCTACTTCCTGCACCGCTCCCCATGGTGGGTCCACCGCTTCGAGACGCTCAGCAACCACTTCCTAGAGCTCGTGGTGCCTTTCTTCGTCTTCCTCGGACGGCGGATGTGCGTCCTCCATGGCGCCTTACAGATCCTGTTCCAGGTGAGTTGTCCCCGACACCCAGGACCAGGAGCACCGCTTGCCAGTTCCCAAGAGAAACTCTGTTGGGATTTGACGTTTCTGTGTCCTGCTGTTTGTTTTTATCGCGTGTAAACCTGCCTGATGTGATGGCAGCGCCCTTGTGACATCACTAGTCATGTCCTATCTGTCTGCCTGTTGTCCAGGGGTCTGTGTGGTCTCGCAGGTGCAACGGGCAGCAGGAGATGGGCCTCCCCTGAGTCCAAAGGGGACGCTTCCTGGCCTAGTGGGATGTGTCTGTAGGTTGGGTGGGTG